ATTTCAAAGTTCTAGAGCATTAATGCTTGACTATTGGTCATTTCTTAAAAGATATTTTTAAGAGATTCCTGCTCAGTACCCTGGTGACAGTTTCAACATTACTTCAAACATACCTTGCAACTTTTTGTTTATGGACTAGCAATACATCCTGTGCCTGAGCCAAGGGGTTTTCTTGTGAGATATATTTGCAAAATACGTGCTTGTATTTAGGAAAAAATCTTTGGCTACACATCAGCTGGTTTCAAGTACATTATACTCCCTTATATTACTTCTGAGTAGGCTGTCCTTTAAGATTCTTGAACTAGAAGCATTATAAAAAGTGACATGATTAGAAGATTGTCAAATTTCTTGATCATCTGATCAACATTCTGAAAAATCAATAGACTGCTTTGTTTTATTATTGTAATTATTTTCTTCTCTACACATAGGTTTATGTAGGAGTTATATTTTTTCAGATCTCACCCAGTTAGAAAATAAACATATAGTTATTTTCTACGTTTTAGTTTTCGCACAGTAAGGAAAGTCATCTGGTACTATTGGAAAGCTAGTAAGGAAGCCACAGCTCTTGCGCTTCATCATGGAAACCCATTTAAAGAAATATTGATAGTCTTTTCTATCTTGATATGTTATTTCTAGTAACATTAATGCAATGGCTGTGTAGACACTAGACACATGCAAATATGCAGTGCATCCTGAACAGACTGTGCTACCAAAATGATTGGTTTTCTTCAAACGTTTTAAGATGCTTCAGAGTATACTGGGGCACATAAAGCTTAACTTTAAAAACAAGAAACAGATTTCCAAGTGCACAATTTTTGTTATAAAAGCAGAGCAACTACGAATGATTTCTTTGATGAAAATGTACATTACTATCAACCAGTAGTAAAGAATATGGTTTTAAGAAGCTGACATATTAGTAAAGGGTATATTAAAAAGTCTCACATCCCTCTCCTTAGATACTTTTTAGATTGGTTAGGCATTTCAAGTAATGAACTGTGTATTTTAAACATGAATCCTTGAGAGAATATCATGTTAAGGTACCAGTAGGTGTATTCATAGGCAAAAACATGTAAGACATCAGCGTACAGCAATTTCAGCTTGAGTGCTTCAATCTCAAAAATTTCCAGATCAATCTGAATAGCGCTAGCCAGGCATCAGAGAACTGAGGAGCTGTTAATATTTGAGCTAGTAATATAATGTTTGTCCATAAAACTGACTTCCTAAAATTCAGTGGCCACTAACATAGTTGCTCCATCACTGAATCAACTGTGCTGGCAACCCATCACATAGCTTCTTTTACAGAAGCCCTGCCTATCTCTCATTCAAGTTACAGTAGTGTCAGCATAGATTATTCAAGTGTAGTAACTCAAGATAAATTCACTATGGTGAAAACAAGAAGAATTAAATGTGATAATTTTGGTACTCATGGGAAAATTGGGGGTTTTACTGGCAAGTACCACTGCTCATTATGTGTGTTCCTACATATCAAGTGAAAAAGCTAAAAATAAAAAGCAATTTACAAGATACGTGTTTGCCATTAATAGACTACAAATCTAGATGTTTCAAAGACACGGGAAAAAACTTAAAGCCAGATATGCAAATGCATACTCAGATTTTGTAATTCTTGAGTGCTTGCTAGCATAAATTGAAAATGAGGCAAAGAATACTATGCTCTCAGCTTTACAATGTGAGCTACAGCATCAAAAACATGGGCACGTAGAAGCTGCCACTTTGCCAATAACAAGGACTGCACTGGGATCCAAAACTAATAGCATAAGCCTTTGGCTAGGGCTAGAGAGCAAACAGAAAGGGCTGTGACTGGGAACACAGTCCTGGTCTAAATGGAGAAGATGTACAGATGTGCAGCCACGAATATATTGCATGAATTGGGAAAACTTATGCTGCACTGGCTGGTAAAAACAAGGACACTACCCCATAACCTCTACAGTTAAGTCTAGCATTTGGCACTAAGGAGTTGCGATTTTTGTGGATGAAATAAATGCTATCAAATGAGCTACATGTCAGTTAGAGAGAGAAAAGGAGCCAGATGAAGACACACTAAAAAATGATAGGGCATATGGGATTCAGATGCAAACTGGTGAGCAGCAGCAGCTACATGTGAGTCACCAGAGTCTGAAGGTACCTAGCAGTAGCATTTTCAAGCCCTCAATCTATAATAGATATGCCTAAAAGAAAAATCATTATCAATTCTTGGAGAAAGTTTTATGCTAAGTTTACTGTTGTTAACTACGTGATGCGCTGTGTTAGTGTTAGTGAAAGCTGTCATTTTCAGCCACTGTTCTTGCTAACAGAATGCTATGTAACATGATGCAAAATATTGCACACATTTCACCCACTCAGATACACCTGCTAGCAGGATAAACCTACATAGCTGACCAAATGGAAAACTGAATTTTGTGCAGTGTCTAATATATTGTGGGTTTGGTTTTATTTCTTTATGTTTTGTATAAAATTCATTCACTCTGTTTGTCAACAGATTTCTAAATAAAAAGCAAGCCACAAAATCCATGCACCTCTAGCTAAAACGGTTTGCTTAGATTCTTTGGACATCTTTATTTCGATCTGGTATACCCTCAATGTTTTCACAATTTGCAATTAAAACAAAATATTTTCCAATTTTTAGCTAGCAATTGCTAGATCTAACTCAGCTTAATCCAGGGGCAAAATTAAAATGTAATTCTCATCCTCAGCAATTAATTTCAGATGGACAATGGGCAATTTGTTGGTCTACAGCTAGAAATAATCCAGGTCTATAATTTCATTGTATAAATATCATTTAATAGAGATTCTAGAGCCAGTTCACTAGGTCAATTAATATTTGCTTCTCTGCCTAATCATCCCCGTATCATTAGTTAAAAAATGAGAACTGACATCTATATGCCTGTAAATATCTTCTACTTCAATAATTAATTACAGAGAAATAACTTGTGAGCAGTTTTGAAGTTTTTAGTTTTTCATTTTCTTATACCTTCATTTGGTCTGATCATGACAATATTCAGCATCCTATTTTAATTGTTTTGGGTTTTGTGCTGTCAGTGGAGATTCTACAAAGTCTTGGGATTCATCAGATCAATTAGCTCAATTCTTTGGGGAAAAAGATAATTTACAAAAAATAATATTGAGCCAGTAGCTTAAATTGTTTCTCTATTTTTTGTAACAATCATTGTAAATACAGTAACTCCTGAATGTTTTTATTTATTTTTTTTAATTGGTGATGGTGGAATTATCAGATGTCGAGATGCGGGCATCTTTTTGCCTTGGAAGATGTTAAATGTGTATTTTTTCCTAGAGATCAGGGGAAACTTTCCCTTTCTCTCAGGAAAGATAAAAATAACTGTCATCATCATGAACACGCGACATACAAAGCACATACTACCTCGACATTCTCACAGTCTCTTTGAGAAAATTAGCAAGAGTTGAAGAGCAAAATCCAAAGAATTGATAAATTTACACTATGAGAAAGAATATATTAGCCTATATGTAGCTATGCATTATGGTTAGACTCTTCAGTATTGAAGTGCTGCATGTGTATAGCCAGTTCTGTATCTCTGATAACAGACTGTAGAAGCAGACATTCATATTTTGCCAAATATTTTGTCTTCCAATCCTAAAAGTTTACCATCTTCATTATCTTCAACAGTGACATTTTCTTAAAAACATCTCCCTATTCTATATTCTTATATTACAGATGTTATCTGAGACTACACCCTGGTTTTATAGTTTTTAGCAACAGCATACTTCACCTTGTTTTGCAACAAATGACCACATAAAATTAAGTGGTCATTCACTGGGTAATACTACACATCACTCATCACATGCAGCGCTCCACAATAGATGTGCTATTACTAAATAGTCCCACTTGGCCAGAAACACTTACAGAAATTCAAAATGTGGGCTGCTGTGAGCAACATAACCTATGGTACAGTTGCACTAAGACACATCTTGAGATAGCTCATCCATTTTTAACAGCTTGCTAGTAGCGATCCTTACTAGTAATCACTTCTTTCATGTTTTCCAACATTTTACCTGTTGGAATTATATTTGTTATAAGGTCCTAATTGCTGCAAAGACTTACTGCTGAGTACCAAGTAGTACAGTACATTCTCATTAATTTTCAGCACCTATTGTAGGTTGGTTCTGTCACACACTTCTTGAATGACCTTGGACAAAACACTTACATCAGATATGAAAGTGCTTAACAATTCACAAAAAAAAAATCTGATGTTCTTAGATTGGATGGGGTTAGGCAGAGAAATGTCAACCTGCAAATTTAGGTGACCCCATACCTTTTAAGATCTGTGTGTTCTTTTTCCTCCATTCTCATTTGTAAAATCAGCACTAAATACATCTTCAGTTTCCCAGTCTATGTCCAGCTACCTGTTTATGTTGTAAGATTGTGGAGATTCCACACCTGACGCTAGAGTACCATTTAAAGGTGGGGACTTACACAGTTAGGTTTTTGAATATATTTTGCTGCTTCTACAGGAACAATATCAGGCTCACAGCTCTTGTGATTTGTTGTTTCTGAGTGGTTAACAAATGGTTTGCAGTCCCCACGGCAAGCCATGACAGTTGAGAGCTTGCTTTGTTCTAATTTATGTTAACATTGTGAAATATTCTGCAGAAATACTGCAAAGAGAGCTCTTAAGCTTAATCAGAAAAGACATACTTAAAAACTGTAGGCTTGCACAAAAAAAAAAAAAAAATAATCTAATCCAAAGGACATGAACGTAATATTACATTTATCCAAATGGAATAGGGGGAAGAAAAAAAAAAAAATCAAATAAGCAATGAATAAATTTGTTTCTAAAATGTCTTTTTAGCCGGAGGAGTCCAGTAAGGCACTGTGACTAGAAAAAGTATGCAGCTGAGCTCATCTGCAAAACTCACCAAGGTTTCCTGCTGATGGTATTGCAACCCACACTTGAACATTGAAGCTTGTCTAAAAGTAAACGTAACTCAGTGATTATTGAACTCACCCAGTATAACACATCAGTCCATCCTTCCATGGTTATACACTGGAACACAGTCAACATTGCAAATGCAAAATTATCAAAGTTGGTTATGCCTCCATTTGGTCCAACCCATCCACCCTTACATTCAGTGCCATTCATGACACACTGACGTCCATTCCCTGAGAATGCACAAGGTGCTGGATCTTCTTCAACTAGTATATCTGAAAATTGAGCGAAAAAAAAAGATCTTTCAGTTCTCAAATTTTTGTGAGTGAACTCTTCACATGAACAAATATCAACCCTGTTGGAAGTAAATCCAGATATCAACCTGAGAAATCCTGAGAAAGGCAACACATGGGAGCTTCAGAGTTCTTACTCTCACATGTGGGCCTTGCAACCTTAAAATAAGTTAATCAAAATTGAAAGAATAAAAGAGATCAAGTAATTAAGCAGTGGAAAAAAGCATGTAATAATACAACAATTTTTTTAGAATCTCCTCATGCTCTTTTTTTTTATTCCCCTCTTCATTGCTGTTTTTCACTTCATACTAACACAGGGACCACCAGGGAAAACAGGTCTGGACTAATTCCTATGCATAGTTTACCTCATTATTTAGCTGATAGAAATGTACCCTTAGCCATCAAATAAGATCTTTCCCTCGTGATGTTTCACTCCTTCAAAATTCTTTCATAACAAACACTTTCATCTGGATGGAGGAACACTGTTTGCTTTCTTTCCTCATTTCAGAACTGCACTTCTTATCAAGCTGCCACAATCTTGAAGGAGAAACACTGCCTGACTGTGGACTCAGGAAAGTAAATATCTACCCTGGAATAGGACTAGCTATCTTTTCAGTAATCAGAGATTAGGGAAAAAACAAACAAACAACTACTGAGTTGTCGTTTGTACATAGTCACTCTTACTACTTTCACTAGTGACATTTCAGTTACACACTTCAGAAATGAAAACCTATTCAAAGCATGTTCTAAGTGGCTTGCATTTTTGTTCTTGTTTCTTAAATTTCATGTGCTCTTCCTAGCATTATGAACTACAGTGAAAACTGGATTTACAACAGTTTTAGTGCTTCAGCCCCTATTCTATTTCAAACCAAAATTCCACAGAGTTGAAAACCAGAATTAGTCCCTTATTTTGCTCAACAATTTCATAACTTACCTGAATCAATAAGAAAACAGGATTTGTGCATTTTTCCAATAAAAAGTTCCAATCCTATAATAGCATAGATTATGATTACAAACAATACCAAAAGGGCAATATGGAGAAGGGGGACCATGGCTTTTATAATGGAGTTCAGGACAACTTGTAAACCTAAAAGAAAAGAGGATACAAAATATGAACCAGTTTTCTATGCCTTGCCTTACCAAATTTTCTGTAATTACACATTATTATAGATTAATGATACAGGCATGCAGACTCAATCAGTTTTAAAACTACTGCCCAGAACCACAAGGTGTTCCTATAACGTAAGATACTTCCTAAGAACCTAAAACTCTGTGTCAAAGTCTAATTAATCCCTCTGTTAATAAAAGTCATATCACAGAAATCAATGATTGAAATGTGTCACAAGAATTTATGGGTTTGGGTTTGGTTTTTTGTTTTTGATTTTTTTTTTAAGAAAGAAAGGGCATGTAGTCCATGTGTGGCTGTAGGTCATTTTAGATGGCCTTCAAAAAGTTCTGTGCTACCTACTTTTTCATCATTAGTCTTCATCACTTTCAAAAAGGCCCCATTTTTTTCTTTTTTCCTTAATTATTTAGCTAAACTTTGGTTTTACCAAAAAAAGTTAATCCCAGACTAATGAAGCTGCCATAGCACCAGTGAGAACAAAATATGCCTCTTAACAGAATTCCTTCCTGACATTTCATAAGACTGCTTCTTTCTTCACTGAAGATCTTTTTCTAAATATACACCATCATGATCATTTCCACATAGCAGACTATGATATAATAAACGCAGCATTAGGATTCCTTCTCTTGAATGTCTTAGAGCGGAATTTTAAGCCATGAACCTCCTATCCAGCGGAATAGTTTCAGTAATTAGTAATGTATTAAAAGAAAACAGGAAAGCTTATCAGAAAATTCAATTGCTTTCTTTAAATAATATTGTTCTACTTTTTAAGTTTCCTAACTTATCTGTTAGCTTTACTGAGATAAACAGAAGGCATTCATGTGCATTGGTGGGGGCAGGAAACAAGAAATGTGTAATGTGCTTTGGCATACACTTACAACATATAAACTGTTTTAAGACCACCTACACTTTCTGATCTGTAGGGTTTTGGAATTAAAAAAAAAAATCCAAATTCTGTTTTCTGGTGTATTTGCATTTTAACATGTAATTTACTTTTATACAAAGCTTCTAAAAAGGAAGTGTATTCCCCTGTCTGCTTATTGAACTGTGTAAGAAGATCATACACTGAATGAATTCACAATCCTTTGTTCAACTTGAAATATCATTCATCTTGAAACTCACTTTATATACATAACCAGATAACAAAAAAATCACATTTATGTTATCTCATTTCTCTTAGCATCTGGAACAAGAAAGTTAAGCTATCAGGCCAGTTACAGTATTCATTCCAATGAAATTAAATAGAAAAGAGCTTACTGGGCACTCCTGATACAAGCCGGAGAGGTCGCAATACACGAAAGGCTCTTAGGGCTTTGACATCAAAGCCACCAGGTTTGCCACCTGAGTGGCTGCCACCTTCTGTTTCTTTGGTTAATTGTTCCAATATTACACTAAATAATCTAGAAAATGAGATGAAGGGTAGGGTCATCACCATCCATTTGCCATGCAATCAAAACTATTAAGAAATTACTTGAACTGCAGATAATGCTGAAAAGCTGTTCAGCTATCAAAATGAGAGGCATATTTACACATTAAATCATGACAGGAAGAGTTATGAGGTGCAAGAGTGCATCCCCCCAGAGAGCGATAATCACACAGTATCCAATAAATTAGCATTCCGCTTGTATACACAATCTGCTATTTTTGAATAAATGAAGCTACTTTTCTACTTCTTCGTTCAAACATTTCAGCTGTAAGGTTTGGAGAATTAGTCTCCTCTTTAGAACATGAGATAGATAATCATTAGAAACCATCTGTTTTAATTTTGGTGGAATATATGAACTCCAAGGCACACTGCAGTTCAACATTCTAAATACAGTTAGCAAAAACTGAATATATTAAAATTAGAGTCCAACACTTAATAACACCAAAAGGATTTGTTTCTACACATAATATCTTTGAGGATAAAAATATTCCCAGATGACTCATTTATTACACTGTATTTCCTCACTGCAGAAATGAACTAGTCGTTCACTAGAACAGTTTAGAAGACAAGAGTTTTATTTTTCTTTCCCATCTCCAGCAGCAATTTAAAGGGATGAAAGTGGTTGAAGTGCTAAGTAATCCTAGGTTTATTCTAGCTTGGACCTGCATTTCAGATATGTGGTTTTCTAGACTGTGGCTAGACCACACAGACCATATTATCCTTTGCACTGAGTCTGTAGTTCGGTAGTTGCAAAACCAAACTTCTCCTGAAAGGATTATCAAGTCAGTAAAGTTTTGTAGTCCTGAAAAATGTTCCACACTTGTAAAGGACTCCTGGAATGTACACATTTTTAGGTTTGTCAAGACAAGTTTTCACAACTCTGTTTCACAACTCTGTAACGCTGGATCATTCTGAGGAATCGTGTAATATTTCATAGGCTGCCCAAACTACGATACTGAAGACTTTCTCCTCCCACAGTTAGCAGCTGACCTGCATCAGTTAATGCCCATCCTTATTCTGCTTCATTCTTCTCCAGAGTGAAACCCAGGCACAAAGACTACACACTGCTATAGCCATAGAAACCCAGATATCTAATATTTCAGGTCCTGGTTTAGCCCTATAATTTAATAGAAGCATAATTCTAATAAAAGGAGCAACCTCAGTGATTTCAGAGTGACTACTGATGCTTTAAAGGAAGACATGATTAAAAGGACTTCTGAATCAAGCCCCAGATTAAGAGAAGCTGCTTTCAGCCTGTCATCATTCAGAAAATTAAAGAGCTATAGGCACAGGAAGGTGCTATGAAAGCTTTTTCTACCAAGATATTATTCTTTCACAGAAATCAATGGAAATTATGTGGCATAGCATGCAGGCAAATAGTAGACTGCTCCGAAAGTAATTCATACTCTGGTATGAAGTGACAAAGATGGGAGAAACCCACATTGACAGCTACATCTACAGCTCTGTCATCTTATGTCTATCCTATAAAGACACTCAGGTAGAAATCCACTGATCTTCCCTAATTAAAATTGACATTTATTTTCCTGTACAGTTTACAAAAGTTTAAATGCCAAATTTGATGTTGTGGAGAAAAGTCTGTATATGTGCTTCCCTTTCGCTAGCAGAGATTTCATTTGGCGCAATTTATGTGTTTGGACTGCTACAGTTTCTGCCGAAAAAGCAAATGAAGCAAATTTCATCTAATACATTCAATATAGGACACATGGCAGCTCCTCGAAGCTATTAAAATAGCTAATGAAATTTCACAATGAAACTGGGCAAACAATCAGATCCAGAAGTGATTCCATATCCACATTGGGTTATATACAAAAATCAATTTTCACTGGGCTTTTAAGTATTAATTAAAGAAATGGACTAATGCTTGCTTACTTGCTTATGTGGGTTGTGTTGTTCTTAAAAGTAGAACATTGCTCACAGAGTGCAGGAACAAAAATATTGCTAAGTTTTGTCAGTGCCTGACATGTTATGAAAGGTCCATCTTGTCTTCCAGTTAGACTGGTGATAACCTACACAATAGTTTATAAACCAAAACTTTCAGTTTTGAGCTAGGATTTACATCTTAGCGTGATATTTTAAGTATTTGATAAGATGTAGTCCTTTTTATTTCGTATTTTCCACAGATTCAGTGGGAGCACTTGACCTAACTAGATTTAGCTTCCAACAATGAGTGTTTTATGAGTTAATGGAAAATTTTTTAGTTATCATGTATTTAGGACAGAGCCAAAGATAGAGGTCATGTTAATTAGACTGCTCCAGGGTTACTGTAACTCCATGGTCACTTGACAAAAGGGAAGAGGTCTATTCAAGTGACTGCCTGGCAAGAGAATAGAGCTCTTGTGTGTGATAGTCCCCACACCTGCCCACCAAGCTTCCCCTTCAGGCACAGAGGCCAATCTGTTGAGAACGACCTGACCTGATGAAGGATCTATTTATATAGAAATTTTAGTCCTGGACCAAAACTGCCTGAATGCCAAGCAACTGGCCCAAATACAATCTCAGTAACATTTACTCTCTCAGAAGCAAATAGTTGGGCTTTCATAATACTAGCTCAAATTTAATAATGCTTTACCACAAATTCCTTTACTTCATCTCTTTTTCTTTTCCCTTCGTGTAATGACATGAGTTAAGGGCCTTTCCAATTACAGGCAACCCTTGATATAGTTTCAACTTAATAATTAAAGTAGACTTGCACAATGCATGACAGTCTTCCTTGCACGCCAGCCACAACATACAAAATTATATGTTGATAATGTTCTCTATGTTCTATATAAAAAAAAAATTAAAATAAAATGTTTTCAGTAAACAAAATTTATAATACTTGAAATTGTCTTTTTCTTTCTTTTTTTTTTTTTTTTTAAACTGGAACAGGCAGCCCAAAGAAGTGGTGAATGCTCCATTCCTGGCAGTGTTCAAGGCCAGGTTGAACAGAGCCTTGGGTGACATTGTCTAGGGTGAGGCATCCCTGCCTACAGCAGAGGGGTTACTCCTTTCTAATCCTAACTATTCTATGATTCTATAATATAAACTCCACAGTATTTATGGAACTGGGGAATATATGCCTCAAGATTAATTCCCTAGTTAGCTGAAGGTAGTATCTTCTACCAAGCTAGCACAACCATTGACACAATATAGCTGACACAAATCATTATTATCATAAGCAGGTGCATAATGTAGATGTGGGATGTTCTAATCTCCACTCTTCTGTATCCTGTATAACACTTGAGCAGTCCCTCCTCTTTTGCATACATCCTTCCCCAGCAAGCCAAAGTTATATATATAAATATGTGGAGCCTGATGTTCATCGCCCTAATTTCCCAAAGGCAAGTCCAATTTTCCTCAGAATTCACGAGAACTTTGAGGATGTTGCACATAGCATTGAAAACTTTTAGGACTTTGTCTTGAATTTTTCACTCAGTTCATTCTTTTACTCCAGAAGAACAGAAATCAAGCATAGGCTGTTACTCACAGCCAAACAGGCCTATATCTACTTCACTGTAAAGAAGATTTGAATCTTTCTGTAATGAAGGATAAATTACTTACCCTACTACTACTATTACAAAATCCAATAAATTCCATCCATTTCTAACATACGCATTGGGGTGTAATAATAATCCATATGCTATAATCTTCAAAAATGTTTCAACTGTAAAAATTATCAGGAAGGCATATTCTACTTTTTCCTGTAAAAGACAAAAAAAAAAAAAAAAAGTACAATGAAAGACAACATAATTTGACGGCTCTTTTACCAGTTAGAATTTGCAGAAAGTGGGTAAATTGTATTGATCAGGACTAAGGAGACACAATACTTCATGGCAGTTTATTTTACAGGTTTTAACTGCATAGTACTTAATGACAGCTGTACTGACAAGGTTGTAATTACATAATTACATGAGATTTTCCTGTTTTCACATTCTGCAAAAGAGGCTCTGTTTCTGCAAACACGTAAGTACACTGTACCTTTGCTTAAGCAAATAGTCTCATCCAGGTCAGTATGATTCTTTGCATTCATTAAAACCAGAAAATGCTGAGGACCCTGAACTATCCTTAAAAGGTATGCAATGGTATACTTCCACTGTTTGTTATATCAGCTTTTATTTAATTAGGATCCACAGAGTTCTACCTATTAAGGGAGTGAGACAGTGTTATCCCATACTAAGGAGATTCAAAACGTTATAAGCTATTTTACAGGGTCATCATTTCATTTCACACTTTCTTGCAACTTTTTCATCTTGATGGGGAAGTTTACATTGACTACTTCTTCCTTCTACATCACCAGAATTTCTTTAAATCACCCTAATATGTTTGAAGATCTTGTAAGTAAGTGTATCACCACCTCGTATCATTGAAGCTGCAACTTCAGATTTGTTTCAATGCTTTTCTAAAAACATTATTAGTTATTAATTTTCCCAACATTCTTATTTAAAAGAGAGCTATACATTGAATGCCTTTTCCTAGCTAATTGGATAATATTTTTTGTGGCTTCTTTCTATAGTAATAGCATATTTGATTTGGATAAATTGCAAGTCACTGCTATAAAACCAGATAAGTTAACACATTTGTTCTTTTTACTTTCAGAAATAATCATTTCATCACTTCATGTAATACTTTGTTTAGTTATCTGTTGCTATGCAAATATTAGAGTCAAGAATAAGACACGGGTTTTTTTATTTGTTCAGGAACACATACTATTGTTCACTTATCACACACAATGTTGATCATATGGACTATACCTGCTCAGTAAGGATTACAGTCTTCTATGATGTATACTCAAATATAGCACAGGCAGTACACACAAAATTATATATTTGTTATTTGTTACACAGCTTCTATGCACAACCAAATGAAAACCAAAATTCAATCATCTGTAATTTAAATAAAGATCTTTATATGCTCATGTGCAAAGTCTTTAATTTGGCAAGCTAGATTTCTTTTCCTCATGATAATGCCATTTAGGGTTATGTATAGGATGTGTTATATCCATTTATAAATCTGACACTGGTGACTTCATAAATGTAGAGGCTTACCAATAAACTACAGCCTCCTCTCCAGGTCTTTATCTCCAGCAAGCTGCACCCTGGGATCACCATGAGAGGTAAGACTTCCTCTCAGTGCAAAGCAAGGGTTCCTGGATCTCCTGTTCAGCTCAGTCCCATACTCCTGCCTTTCTCTTCTACTTTGAGTACACTACGTAAACACTGTAGAGCTTCCCCAAGGCAGCTTCTCTTCAGCTGTGTTATATCTTGTCTGATATCATCCAGCCCAGTGAAACTGACAGACATCTTCCTTCTCCTCATACTTCCTAATTCATCTTTCAAAAACTGGAAGTCCCTTCCACTTGCCTGTTAATTTATCACCAGTAAACTGGAAAAATGACTGAACAATAAAAGAAAAATGGCCTCACAGAAGAAACAGAAAAAAGATTGCTTTTGGTTTGTGCACCAAAAGCAATCAGTTTTATTTGGCTACAGAGCACCACAGACATTACAATAATATGAATTATCCTGAGAAAGATGCTGCAAAAAATGCCTAAGTTCAAGGAAATCCTACAATGTACACATTTCAGAATAACAGATATTTCTGTCTCTCTGCACATAACTAAGTCTGTAGCTTGGATATAGAAAGATAAATAATGTAAGACAACACAAAAGACAAAAACATTTTGGTTGGCATTTGCTATAGCAAAATATGCTTCAAAATCATAGTAGTAAAAGAAAAGGTGAGACAAAAGAAGTTTCATATATGCAAAGTTTCAACAGCTTCTTTACATAAAGGGAACATAGGACACAAGACTGGATGAGACCTTCTTGGTCAATATGTCCAGTGTCCTGTTACTACAGGCAAATACATAACTTAATGCCACTCATCAAGCTACCAGATTCCATCCTAAAAAGCATCTTTATCCTTCACTGTTCCCCTTCAAAGAATGTTCTAATGCTCTTCTGCTACAGGGGCTAGGCACCAGCCCTAGTCCTCATGTAACGTGCTTAATGGTCACTGCCCTTGCAGTTCATTTTAATGTGACTGTTCAAATTCAGTAACTCTACCCTATCACTTATCATTCATCTTCTAAAATAATATTGGTCTTGTTCCTGCTCATTTCTCTTTTATGGAAGTAGGAATGTTTCTTATTCCCTAAACAGTATTGCAAACATTCTATTAAAACAATATGGGATGTAAGACAAGCTCATTTTTTAAACCCAGTGGTGGGCTTAAGGTCAGTGTGTGTCACTTGGCAGACGGACCATAATAAACCTTGACAGCTGGACCAACAGAAGCCACGTGAATCTCAGCAAGAAAATACGTAAAGTTCTGCACTGTCAGGTTACATAATGCCACACCAATATGGGCTGAGGAAGGACCTCAAAGTCATAGTAGGCACCAAGTTAAATATGTGCTCACTGTAAATCAAACAAATTCTGTATTGGACTGTATTAGGAACACCATGGTGACCATATAACAGGAAATTATTATCTACCTCTACACAGTATCATGAAGCTGCAACACTACTACAATTTTGAGTCTTTTAGTTCAAAAAGGGTGTTGAGAAAGTGCAGACTCCAATGAAGGAAAGATCTCCTGTCCAGCAAAGAGGAGGCTAAGAGAAGGTCTAACAGTACACTACTATTACTTGAGAAGAGGGTGTTAAAAAGACTATGAAGCCAAACACTAAGTAGCGTCACATGGTAAAACAAGGGGAAACAGTCACAAGCTGCAGGTTTGTAAGTTCATCAGATGTTAAGATAAACTTCTGTATCAGAAGGGTAGTGCCAGACAGGGGCATGCAAGTTCAAAGCAAGAAGTTTTGAAGATGCAGCTAGACAAAGGTATAGCTGACCTGATCTAGTGCTGGTGACACGCCTGCTAAGAGCTGAAGGACTAGGTAACCTCCAGAGGTTTCTCCCAGTTAAAAATTCTGTAATTTCTATTACTGTGATATGATTCTGATAATTCTTATGTGATCATAGAGAAAAAGTATAGTAAGCTTCAGGGCGTGTACAAGTACTTACACCTAATACACATTCAACATGTAAAAGCCCCTGCATTCTACTGAATGTTGAACATTGGGAAGTTTTCCTTCCTTTCTATTGAAGAATGGAAATGTTTCCTTCCATCCTTGTTCCCTTTATATATGCTTTATATCCTTGTTGTAAAGCATATATATCCCTGGTTCCAGAATTTGCCCCTAAAAACATATATGCATAATAGATACAAGACAGAATCAGGAATCATTAACAGAGCCAATGGCACAAGGGAAAGATGCTTTGTAATAGTAATCACTGGGCAATGCAAGAGCCACAATTTCTTGAAAATCCTGAGAAAAGGAACACATATTTCTATAGATCTACAACCAGAGGCACCCATTATTTCCCAGAGTATTTTTCCTCTCTTCCTCCTTTCCTTCCTTCCTTTTTCTTTCAAGCTCCCACTCATTTTTTTTTTTTTTCTCTCCTCTCAAATCATAACTTGTGTCTTCCCCAGAGGCCAGATGAATGATTTGGCCCAGTAGTTAACAATATTCACAGTACAGGCTGTGCTTTCTTTACAGGCTGTTTTTGTGGTTGTTTTTTCTTTTTTTTTCCCCCTCTCTCTTTTTTATTTTTTATTTTTAATAAGTAGGCAGCCAACAGATGTTCTAACACAAACTGCAAAGTTAACAACCTGCTCACCCACAGGAAGAACTGGCAGTCCCTTCTCACTTCAGTAACTTCTTGCCAGTCACTTACAGACATCAATTTTTGCCTCTGGCAACTGAAATACATCTATAGGTGATGCATCACCTACATTTTCAGTATTACTGGAAGAGCTGCAGGGGTCGGGCTGCTGTGTAAAAATAAACCTAAAGCTGTACGAAGCAAATTAAAAATACAGACTGAAGACTGCAGTTCTAAAAGTGTATGATGCACACATTTATCTTTCTTTTCTCTATAGAGGAGAAAACTTCATATCTTACTTTGTTCAAATTAGTTGAGATCTTTAAGTGAATACTTCATTTCATTAAAAATGGAAGTAGGAACACTAAGAAATAAGACAACCAAACAAAAAAAAGAAAAGGGAATACATAAGACTGAGTGACTGCCTGAAAATCAAAATCTTTATTAAAAGAAACTGAGAGGACAATTTTGTTTCTAAGAAATTGCACAGATTAAATTGCAATTATTTGTATTACTACAATACAAATTGTACATATGTTCTAATATCTATTATTGCATTTCTTTCTATATTGCATCACAAAAGTAGCAAAGAAAAAATTGACAGCTGTAAATCAAAAGAAGATATGAAGCACAAAAATCTGTCTGTATTACTACAGATCTAATCCTATGGCTGTAAAGATTAACAGTAGTTCCTTCACTGACTTGATATCACATAGAACTAGGTCCTCCCTCCTTATAGGCAGCTGATCCCTGCAAGCCTGTCTGACACTTTTGTCAATGTTGCTCAAAATCTCCAACTCTCAGAAATTTTTTTCTGAATATATGATGCAACAACAGGACTGATAAGACACATTGCCTTTCTGATAGAGACCAATGAGCTCCACTTTGATACCATGGAGTGCAAAACAAAGCTACCATTATGCACTGAGTTTCAGTGAAGTCATTGAACTTCATTTTCTCAGGGGGAAAAAAAAAAAAATTACATTTGCTTTCTTATTTTAAGTAAATCAGCTTAGCAGAAACCCTGT